AGGCATTTGACTGTGTAGATCATAACAAACTGTGGCTGACTCTGAGAAGAATGGGAATCCCAGAACACTTGATCGTTCTAATGCGAAACTTATAGAAGAAATGAGATACACGAATTATGGTGGTGTGAAAAAAATACTGAATTAGTTTGGACTGCCAGAAGAACAAACCAAATTTCTTGAAAGAAGTACAGCTAGAATGTTCTTTGAAAGCAAACAAAACTTTGTTTCACCAACATGGACATGTTATCAAAAGGGATCAATCTCCGAAGAAGGATGTTATTCTTGGTAAAGATGAGTGTCAGTAAGATAGGGGAAGATCCTCAAAGAGAGATTGACACCATGACTGAAACATGGCAATGATTGGGAGGATGATGCAGGACCAGGTAGTGTTTCCCTTCTGTTGTGCATAGGGTCACTCTGAGTCAGAATCAACTTGACAGCATCTAAGGCCAACAACTTAAACCAAAACACTCTTCAGAAGTGAGCCTATACAATTAATTTCCCTTGTTTTAAATAACAAAACTTTGTTATTTTATTTGATGGCTTATTTTGTAAAGCTAGAAACTATGAGACCCTGATAAAGAAGACACGTTATAAAAGCTGCTGTTGTGTAACCCAGTTCACTAATAGCCAAACAGACCTTCAAAACAAACAAACCAACAAACAAACAAAAACCAAAATCAAACAAACAAAAAACCAGGCCTTCCTCACTAGTCCCTATACTGTTGGTATGGATTACATCTTAAAATCAAGAAAACAAAGGTCCTCACCACAGGATCAATAGTCAACCTTATGATAGATGGAGAAAGGATTGAAACTGTCAATGATTTCACTTTATTTGGATCAACAATCAAACACCCTTTGTATCAGTCAGGCAATCAGGGGATGTTCTGCTTTGGGCAAGTCTGCTGTTTAAGACCGCTTCAAAATGTTAAAAAGCAATGACGTGATTTTGAAAACTAAGGTTTGCCTGATTCAGGCCATGGTCTTTTTAACCACTTTCTAGACATCAGAGAGTTGGTTAATGAATAAGGTTGCCAGAAGAAGCATTGATGCCTTTGAGTTGTGGTTCTGGAGAAGAGTACTGAATATCCCATGGACTATCAAAAAAACAAACATGTATGTCCTGGAAAGGGTGCGACCAGAGTGCCTCCTTGGAGGCAAAGATGGTGAAGCTGTGTCTCTCATACTTTGTTAGGGAAGGCCAACCATTGGAAAAAAAGGACATCATGCTTGGAAAGATGAGAGAAGGAAAGACCCCCAATAAGATGGATTGACACAGTGACTACAGAAATGGGCTTTAGTTTGTCAGAAATAATGAGGATGACACAGGATAGAGCAAGATTCAAATTGCCTATTCAAAAGGGTCATTAGTGCTATGGGTCATACTTGATTCCATGGCACCTAACAACTGTTCCCGGAACTGCAGCCATGAGCAATGGCTGGGAAGAGCTTTCATTCCTGTTTTGCAATGTGGAAGAAGCAGAGCTGGAGGGAGGCAACAAGGGCATTTATCCTACCATGAAATCTTCCATCATGCTACATCCTGGCATATTTTATTTCTGTAGGACACCTTACAAAATTTTATCTTCCAAGAACCCAGATTGCCAATCCTTAAATGTTAGCCTGTAGTTCCTGCAGCAGAAAACTGGCTATCAGCTCCTTCAAACCGAAGAAACTCTAAGGGCAGTTCTACTCTGTCCAATAGTGAGGCTCTAAGTTGGAATCCACTGAATGATGACACGTAACACCATTTCTATCTTCAGTTGAATTAATTGTTTTCCAAAAGACAGGTCCAATTTCTAGACTAGCAGGAGAAAGTTCATTTCTATAATATCTTTGAATGCCCGAGAGAAGCCCGTAGTAGTCACGAAGGACATCAGTTCTTCTCTGGATCCTGATTACACTCTGTGCCCTTCACCTTACACAACTCTCCAAAATCCTGAGTCACGCTTTGTTTATGTTGCTCTTTCAGGCACAAATTGCAGCATGGACCCAAACAAATGTGACGCTAGCTTGGGGGAAGAAGGTGTCACGTTGTAAGAGGCCAGTTTAGCACTGAAGGCTGGCGCACCAGACCAAGCAGGGTGAATAAACGGGGAAAGAGCAAAGGGCAAGCAGGAGACATTTATGCCCTGCGCAAACAGTATCCTGGCCCTTCATTTTTCCTCTTTAGCACTTATTCCATCAAGCTGGAGGAGGCCGGATTTTCATTCTTTGTATTTGTTTTTGGGCCAACCCAACAAACAGCCGGGAGGGAAGAAGACATTTTCAAAACAATTTACTTACTGTTTTAATAGCATTGCCAATGTTACGTAAACACTAAGACAATAAGTATATCTTTGTTACGTTTGTGGCGGGAAAGGTTAGAAAAACTTTAAACATAAAGCAGATACACTGAAATGAATCTACACCGCGCTCATCTACCCCCAGCCTTCGTTGGTCGGCGCGCTGGGGGCGGAGCAGAGGCGGGGTTTCGTGACACCTTAATACCAACGCGCTGCTGTGTTGTTCTTGCGTCTGCTGCTCGGGGATAAAGCTGC